TTATGTTTTTGCAGAGTATGACGTTCCTTTATAGTATTACATTGTTCATTCTGTAATTTTACAGCCCTGTGTTCCATTTTATTTACTTATTGAATAACAATTATTCGGATTGCACATGTATTAGTGACGAACAAGTAATACTTTATCAAATATTCACATGGAAATTGATGTGCAAGGAGGTGAATGCGTATTCAGTATAATATTTATGATATGAACAAACTGAGACGTCCAACTGTGGTATGGTGTAGAGTATTTATATGAAACCACATTATAATTCACCGCAATAAAATGTGATGGTAGTCAATGCGACAATAGGAGAGCAGAGCACATAAAATGATCGCCATAGCAGCAATCACATCGTAAATGTCTCAATAATCATATTAAAAACACTCCGATATAATCCACAGGAATTACTACTGTTATGTGTGGCTTAATTAAAACATAAAATATTATAAAAAAAATTTAAAGATATAATATGTTATAGATTTAAATGTATTTGGGTTTACAAATTAAATGTAATAGCGCCCTCCCATGTTGCTGGTCATATGTGGTTTGGACTATTGGCGGCGCTTTATTTGCCATAAGGCTTTACGTACAGAAATCAATTGATTTTCTCTCACTTTTCTTTTGATGTAGATATGTTTAGTTTCTATTCACTTGCTTCTTGTTGTTTTTTGTGAATTTGTGAGGCAGATAATCTTTCTCATTCAAAGTTTTTCCTTAGGTGCCTTCTGTTTCAAGTTGTTTCTGTTGTCCCATTATTCGATAGTGCCGACCGTCGCTCTACAAGTTTCTTGAAGTAACAAAGACCGGCCACGTAGTGAAGATTCATTTCAAACATTTATTCATATGGCCATGTGTTTAGTTTACATTTATTTACAAGTACAGTAAATGAATATGTATTTTCCTATACATTACCATCATTATTTTGGAAATAGTTTAACCCGGGACACGCTTGTATTTTCTATCAAAACTCTAGTGTTTTAGTATTTTTAGAAAAGTGTTTTTGGGTAAAAATACACGAAAATACACTTTTTTCAAAATATAACACTGAATGTGTCATTAAAGTCTTTATTGTTAAGACATTTATGGACTAATGCATCCAACTTTATACAAGCAGTAGTAACAAACTTGAGTGAAAATTCACATCTGAGCAATTCTTACTTGTAATTTAAACTGTTTAATTTGAAACCGAAAAATCACCAACAATGTTTCAACCTAAAACACAAGACCGTAACTGTTTTATAAGTGTTTATGTATACAATACGTAAACAAGTTCATAAGAGTAACTAAAACACGTTCAAACTGGTTTATTTTGAAACACTTCAGAATAAAAACAAACATGCAATGTTTCAAGATGAAACACTCGACTATGCATGTTTTATAATTGTGTATGTATAGGACGCGCACACAAGTCCATAAGTGTAACTAAAACACTTTTCTAGCTAGATGTCGCCGCGCTAGACAGGCGTTAATACCATGTGATTTAATCATTATATTCAGTTTCTTTATAGCTATTATTCCATCTAATATGGTGATTACCACACACATGTGCAAATTTGTATATGCGAGTAATTTAAACAAGCTTCTCTGAGTCTCCAATTATACATAATCATTTAACTGTTATTTATAAATTTCCTTAATACAATAAATACAATATAAAAACAAATATTGACCAATAATTTTGTTTGCTACTTCTTTGCAAACATTTTCAGACTGTCGCATACGACTTATTTACCACCTCCGTGTCACTGAGAATGTTCTAGAACCGTACTGTGTCTGGGTGGAATATTCTAGATTTTTTTTAGAAACTGGTTGAATAGGTAATAGAACACTGTAAGAGGCAATAGAAGGTAATGGAACATTCTAGAAATTTGTAGTAAGTTCCAGACGCAATATGTATGCTGATGTAATGGTCTATTTATAGACAGTGGGGGTATATATAGAAGAGTTGTTCAGCACTGAGTTGAGATCGGAGATCTCGTTGAATTGTATTGGAGTTTAAGTATCTAGTCATTGGAGTAGTGGAGTTTTACCGCGTTATTGTACTTGATGTTTGCAGAGTATAATAATACCAGTACCAGTTGAAACCTCATCTGTTGGCTTCGTGTTCGTATTTTATTATCGCCGTCAGGGAAGTCTTTCTGTTACTGTTGCCATTTTGGTAATTGAACCATCACACCTGTACTATACCAATTACGGTAATATTACGTTGCGTGTGACACGGACACATTTACTAAACGACGGTGTTCATGATGAATACTATTATATGTTGCTTGTTGAAGTAACTGGTAACTTGTGTTGTGCGCACCTCATTCAACGATTGAATTATTTTATCAGGAGTATCGGGACAGGTGGCATATTCGTTGAAGGAGCAACAACAACTTGGACCGAATGATGCATTTTAGATTTTCTGACGAAGGAATGGAACCGGAAGTTATCATAAATAAACCTGAAAATATGATGATATTTTTACTCTAATACGAAACGTATGGAAAGTGTAATTGGTAAAACCAGCGTCGGTAGTTGTGTGCTGTATTGTAATTTGCAGCGGTGTTCAATCTTTTCATTATGTGTGGGTTGTTACGATAACTGATTAAACTCAAGTTCATGCCTTCAAAGTACAAGAGAAGTCCATAATGAATAACTTCCTTGCTGACGACTTTGATGATATTATATATTTCAGATTTTAAGAGTTAAGGTCGGAGTGGACAAGATGATATTGCCAAGTATTTTTTTTTCTAGTTGATATGGGTTATTCGTGGTTCAGTGTTCCCATCCCCTATGCCAGACGAATTATGGTTAGGTAAATATAGTTTTAAGATACCACACTTCCCGTTTTGGGGAATGGTGTTAAGAGTGGTGAAAATAAGAAATCAAACTATTTTACAGATAGCAAAGTGAAAGATGAATAAAATAAAATAAATGTAGTGTATATATGCAGATTCGAGGATTGAGTAAGAATGGGATTTATTTCTAGAGAGTATGTTTCTGTGAAACTAATGATTTTCCCAGGAATGTGATGTGCCCGGAGAGACTGTATTCTATTCTGGACAATATTTCCACATGGGAAGAGATTT